ATCCGCTAAATCTTCACTCAATAAACAAATAAATAAACTACATAAATAAGAAAACTCTTCCATCACATTACTAAGCTCTCTTTATACAATTAAAACCAAATTAATAAACACTATTAATAATAATAATAGCCCTAAATATTTTATTTACTTTCTATAATCTCATCATGGACTTACATACATATCTCAATTATATACTCCCTCTAGTGGTAGTTCTAATATATTATCTAACCTCTCCAGCAGCTTGAATTAAATCAATTTAATTTAATAATTCCTAAAAATTCTCAATTTATTATAAAAATAAAATTAAAACCAAATATCTCCAACACCCCTAATCATATTATTAAAAAAAAATTAAATTTAAAAATATAAACTACATATAAATAAAATTCTATTACTTTAATTATATTAATTTCTATCAGTTTAATCCATTTTATTTAATTTATTCATTATTTACCTCCTCTACCATAATCCGACCCATAAAATTATAAAAATCAAAATTATCAGCTCCCATACATTGATTAACTTAAAAATGTTATCTATATCAAATATCAGAAATAAAACAATTTAAATCTAGTTCTATATTAAGACCCCTTGGTTTCAAAGTATTCATCCTGAATATCCAAAAAGTTTCATTCTGAGACAATTTTTGAATTTTATTCCCACCCCTCCAATGTCCTATTATTGTATCAATACCGTAAAATTTTAGAACACTTGGGTCTGAGTTGTGGAATTCTATAAAATGTCTCGAGACACTTCTATGGTCTTTCTTGCCCTTAATAATATTCCTTACATGTTCTTCTAGTCTTACACATAAAATTTCTTTTTGTTCTACCTATATATTGGAGGTGGCACGGACATTCCAACATACACGTTACATAACGTGTATTACACGGAATAAACTGTTTGATGGGAAATACTTCTCCAGTTGAATGGGATCTAAAAGATGAGATCACCCCATCTTTTATCCCAGTAGTTTTACATATCCTGCATTTTCTACATGGGAAAAAACGTTTAAAATTGAACATCTCAAAAACTTTTTTCTTTGGTGGCGATATCACGCCTTTCACTAATGTACTTCTTAGATTATTGGTCTTTCTATAAATAAAGGACGGTTTGTCTGGTAGTATCGAACTTAAAATATTATCTTTTTTTAAAATTGGCCAATGTCTCATAAACATCTTTTCAATCTCTCTATACTGGCAATTAAAACCTGAGATAAACGCATACTCAATTCCCTTGTTCTTTTCTTCAATTTTTACTTTTTTCTTAATTTTCCCTTCCCCCAGATAATTCTGATTTATTTTAAATCTGATATTTTCCAATTTCATTGGATCATATCCTTTGGCAATAAATCTGCTCTTAATAACTTCTGATTGTAAAATATAGTCCTCCAATCTGGAACAGTTCCTCATAACTAGAGATGAGCGGATCGAACATGGCGAAGTGGAATTCGTTTCGAAGATTGGGAAATATTCGATTCGCGACGAATCCGAAGATTAGCCAACTTCGGATGCACGAATCGAATTTTCCCAAAAATGGTGGCGACATGTGTGGCGACATGTGTGGCGATATGAAGGGACAGAGTTAGGGCCACAGAGACTTTAGGGCCACAGAATCGTTACTCAGGGACACAGAATCGTTACTCAGGGACACAGAATCGTTACTCAGGACACAGAATTGTTACTCAGGGACACAGAATTGTTACTCAGGGACACAGAATTGTTACTCAGGGACACAGAATTGTTACTGAGGGACACAGAATCGTTACTCAGGGACACACAATTGTTACTCAGGGACACACAATTGTTACTCAGGGACACAGAATCGTTACTCAGGGACACAGAATTGTTACTCAGGGTCACAGAATTGTTTACTCAGGGACACAGAATTGTTACTCAGGGACAGACACAGAATTGTTACTGAGGGACACAGAATCGTTACTCAGGGACACAGAATTGTTACTCAGGGACACAGAATTGTTACTCAGGGACAGACACAGAATTGTTACTCAGGACACAGAATTGTTACTCAGGGACACAGAATTGTTACTGAGGGACACAGAATCGTTACTCAGGGACACAGAATTGTTACTCAGGGACACAGAATTGTTACTCAGGGACACAGAATTGTTACTGAGGGACACAGAATCGTTACTCAGGGACACAGAATTGTTACTCAGGGACACAGAATTGTTACTCAGGGACAGACACAGAATTGTTACTCAGGGACACAGAATTGTTACTCAGGGACACAGAATTGTTACTCAGGGACACAGAATCGTTACTCAGGGACACAGAATTGTTACTCAGGGACACAGAATCGTTACTCAGGGGACACAGAATCGTTACTGAGGGACACAGAATCGTTACTCAGGGACACAGAATCGTTACTCAGGGACACAGAATCTTTACTCAGGGACACAGAATCGTTACTCAGGGACACAGAATCGTTACTCAGGGACACAGAATTGTTACTGAGGGACACAGAATCGTTACTGAGGGACACAGAATCGTTACTCAGGGACACAGAATCGTTTACTGAGGGGACACAGAATTGTTACTCAGGGACACAGAATTGTTACTCGGGGACACAGAATCGTTACTCAGGGAGACACAGAATCGTTACTCAGGGACACAGAATTGTTACTGAGGACACAGAATCGTTACTCAGGGGCACAGAATCGTTACTCAGGGACACAGAATCGTTACTCTGGGACACAGAATTGTTACTCAAGGACACAGAATTGTTACTCAGGGACACAGAATTGTTACTGAGGGACACAGAATCGTTACATTATTTTTGGGGGTGCTTATAGAATTAAAGAGTATGTCAGACAACACGCAGAGGGAGTGGCAGAGGAGGCAATGTTTCAGGAGCGAGAGCAGACGTGGCAGCAGAGGAAGGGGTCGAGGCAGCACTAGTCGCAGCCAGAGGCCAGTGCTCCCGCTGTCATCCAGCGGTCGTGTCTCCACCGACAACCCTGCCGTCATCGATTGGTTGGCTCGGTCGTCTTCCTCTTCCCAGGTCACCTCTGACACCTACAGCCAACGGTCGGTGGGTACGTCAGACACAACCGTTAGTTGGCATGGCCCGGGAGCAAGCCCACTGAAATCACGTTGTCCTCTACCTGCCCCTGTGCTTTGGTGTTCCCTCACCAAGCAAAGTATCGCATGCTGTGGGCTCAGCCCCACTGTACAGTGAGGGAAGAGCTAACAGAGGGCGGTCAGGAACGGGGGGACATCCGCCTCTTCAGCAGCCAGGCGAAGAAGTACTGGCGAGGAGAGTGGCTCGGTAGCCGGTCTAGAGACAGGTCTGTCTCCTGACCCACACGCAGCCGAGGGGGCTAGTAGTGAGGCGGAGACCCTACTTGATGATGAGGAGGTTGATCGCACTTGGCAGCCTCGTCGTCATCAGGCTATTGCTTCCGCATCATCAGGAGAAGAGGGTGCCAGCTTGGCAGCGAGCAAAACAGTCGGTGGGTTGCCCAGGAGGCAGCAGGGTCGCAGCAGTGTCAGTGGAGGCAAACGGCCACGGAGTAGAGCACCAGCTCCACTGCAGCCTACCACCACGGCCAGTAGTGGTGCCGGTGTGCACGGAGGAAGTAGCAGTCAGCCAGTGAGGAGTAGCGGGGGCAAAGTTTCCTACTCGGCGGGTGTGGCAATTTTTCGTCAAGCCACCCGAGGAAGTAAAGGTAGCCTTATGTCGACTATGTGGCCAGAAAGTCAAGCGTGGCCAGGGGGCCCATGTTGGGACTACAGCGTTGCGTCAGCATATGCATCGTCGCCATTCGGTGGCCTGGGAAAACCGTGATAAAGATATGGCGGTTCTGCCTGCCCCAGCCCCCGCTCCATCACCCGCTCCGTTACTTGCTCCGTCACCCGACGTCAATCGCCCTCGGTGCAGAAGCTGAACGTCCTCCTGTCCAAGTTGCTGGGTTGCTGCAGTCCCTCCCTTTCCAAGTGGTGGACTCAGCACCTTTCCGGGAAATGATGGCTTGTGCCGAGCCGCGGTGGAGAGTGCCAAGCCGGCATTTCTTCGCCAAAAAAAGGTAGTGCCAGCCCTGCATTCACATGTAGAAGAGATGGTGGGCCCAGTCTTTGAGCATGTCGGTCTCTGCCAAAGTGCACGGCAGCGCCGACGTGTGGAGCTGTAACTACGGTCAGGGTCAGTACATGTCATTTACGGCCCACTGGGTGAACGTGGTGCCATCGGCACAGCCGCCGCACCAGCAACTTGGACAGGTCACGCCACAGCTTTTGCCTCCACGTTTGCACGTCCTTGGTCCAGCAAAGATGTCCGCCTCTCTACCACCTCTTCTTCCGCCGTGTCCTCAGCCGCCCACCCCCGTGCCAAGTCCCATTACCCGACCGGCATATCACATGTGCAGGGCGCAATGGTGTCACGCTGTGCTGCACCTGCACACTGCTGGTGGGTTCCATTTTGTCATAGGGTGCTGTATGGCCTCCCATTGCTGCTGCCAGGCCCGTAATCTGCCATGGGCCCCCGTACCGACTCCTCATGCTGCTGCCAGGCCCGTAATCTGTCATGGGCCCCTGTACCCGCCTCCTCATGCTGCTGCCAGGTCCAGAGTGTGTCATGGGTCCCTGTACGACCTCCCATTGCTGCTGTCTCCATCGCCACACTCTGCCATGTGCCACTTTCAGGTCTCGCACACTGCTGGTGGGTTCCATTTTGTCATAGGGTGCTGTATGGCCTCCCATTGCTGCTGCCAGGCCCGTAATCTGTCATGGGCCCCTGTACCGCCTCCTCATGCTGCTGCCAGGTCCAGAGTGTGTCATGGGTCCCTGTACGGCCTCCCATTGCTGCTGTCTCCATCGCCACACTCTGCCATGTGCCACTTTCAGGTCTCCGCACACTGCTGGTGGGTTCCATTTTGTCATAGGGTGCTGTATGGCCTCCCATTGCTGCTGCCAGGCCCGTAATCTGCCATGGGCCCCCGTACTGACTCCTCATGCTGCTGCCCAGGCCCGTAATCTGTCATGGGCCCCTGTACCGCCTCCTCATGCTGCTGCCAGGTCCAGAGTGTGTCATGGGTCCCTGTACGGCCTCCCATTGCTGCTGTCTCCATCGCCACACTCTGCCATGTGCCACTTTCAGGTCTCCTCACACTGCTGGTGGGTTCCATTTTGTCATAGGGTGCTGTATGGCCTTCCATTACTGCTGCCAGGCCCGTAATCTGCCATGGGCCCCCTACCGACTCCTCATGCTGCTGCCAGGCCCGTAATCTGTCATGGGCCCCTGTACCGCCTCCTCATGCTGCTGCCAGGTCCAGAGTGTGTCATGGGTCCCTGTACGGCCTCCCATTGCTGCTGTCTCCATCGCCACACTCCTCCATGTGCCACTTTCAGGTCTCCGCACACTGCTGGTGGGTTCCATTTTGTCATAGGGTGCTGTATGGCCTCCCATTGCTGCTGCCAGGCCCGTAATCTGTCATGGGCCCCTGTACCCCGCCTCCTCATGCTGCTGCCAGGTCCAGAGTGTGTCATGGGTCCCTGTACGGCCTCCCATTGCTGCTGTCTCCATCGCCACACTCTGCCATGTGCCACTTTCAGGTCTCCGCACACTGCTGGTGGGTTCCATTTTGTCATAGGGTGCTGTAATGGCCTCCCATTGCTGCTGCCAGGCCCGTAATCTGTCATGGGCCCCTGTACCGCCTCCTCATGCTGCTGCCAGGTCCAGAGTGTGTCATGGGTCCCTGTACGGCCTCCCATTGCTGCTGTCTCCATCGCCACACTCTGCCATGTGCCACTTTCAGGTCTCCGCACACTGCTGGTGGGTTCCATTTTGTCATAGGGTGCTGTATGGCCTCCCATTGCTGCTGCCAGGCCCGTAATCTGTCATGGGCCCCTGTACCGCCTCCTCATGCTGCTGCCAGGTCCAGAGTGTGTCATGGGTCCCTGTACGGCCTCCCATTGCTGCTGTCTCCATCGCCACACTCTGCCATGTGCCACTTTCAGGTCTCCGCACACTGCTGGTGGGTTCCATTTTGTCATAGGGTGCTGTATGGCCTCCCATTGCTGCTGCCAGGCCCGTAATCTGTCATTGGCCCCTGTACCGCCTCCTCATGCTGCTGCCAGGTCCAGAGTGTGTCATGGGTCCCTGAACGGCCTCCCATTGCTGCTGTCTCCATCGCCACACTCTGCCATGTGCCACTTTCAGGTCTCCGCACACTGCTGGTGGGTTCCATTTTGTCATAGGGTGCTGTATGGCCTCCCATTGCTGCTGCCAGGCCCGTAATCTGTCATGGGCCCCTGTACCGCCTCCTCATGCTGCTGCCAGGTCCAGAGTGTGTCATGGGTCCCTGTACGGCCTCCCATTGCTGCTGTCTCCATCGCCACACTCTGCCATGTGCCACTTTCAGGTCTCCGCACACACTGCTGGTGGGTTCCATTTTTGTCATAGGGTGCTGTATGGCCTCCCATTGCTGCTGCCAGGCCCGTAATCTGTCATGGGCCCCTGTACCGCCTCCTCATGCTGCTGCCAGGTCCAGAGTGTGTCATGGGTCCCTGTACGGCCTCCCATTGCTGCTGTCTCCATCGCCACACTCTGCCATGTGCCACTTTCAGGTCTCCGCACACTGCTGGTGGGTTCCATTTTGTCATAGGGTGCTGTATGGCCTCCCATTGCTGCTGCCAGGCCCGTAATCTGCCATGGGCCCCCGTACCGACTCCTCATGCTGCTGCCAGGCCCGTAATCTGTCATGGGCCCCTGTACCGCCTCCTCATGCTGCTGCCAGGTCCAGAGTGTGTCATGGGTCCCTGTACGGCCTCCCATTGCTGCTGTCTCCATCGCCACACTCTGCCATGTGCCACTTTCAGGTCTCCTGGCCTCCCATTGCTGCTGCCTCCACTGCCACACTGTGGCTCCACACTCTGGTTTTGGCCCCGTGACTGCCCAAATGAGTGAAGTGTGCGGTGATTCTAAGATCGACGGCACTCATCTGCATGTCATACTGACTGACAGTATTATTTCTCTTCCCCCCAGCAGACTCCAAGGACATTTAAATTAAAGGTACAGTGTTCTGCACTAATATAAAGGCTCTCTGAAGCCTAAAAACACCCTTTTTATAAGTTAAATTCGCAGCGAATATATTCGACTCGAATCGAATTTATTCCGCGAATTCGGCGAATCAGCCGAATCGAATTTTTGAATACTTCGCTCATCTCTACTCATAATTCTTGTAAATTGTCCCTTTGGTATACCCTGAATCCCCCGGGGATGGTGACAACTACTTACAGGAATGTACCCATTTTTGTCTGTGTCCTTAAAAAAAGTCTTAAAATATAATTTATTATTTAACTCAAAAATCGTTAAATCTAAAAAATTGACCAATTCAGTACTAATATTGTGAGTAAAAGTTAATTCATAGCTGTTTTTCCCAATAAAATCCAAAAATTGCTGTAAACTTTTTTCGTTCCTTCCCAAACTACCAGAATATCATCAATATATCTTTTCCATATTTTTAAACCTCTCCAATTTTTTTCATAGATTTCCTTATCTTCCCATTTTGCTAAAAAAAAAAAATGTTGGCCAAACTCGGGGCAAATTTAGCGCCCATCGCGACACCTTTTCTTTGCTCGTAATAACCACCATCGTACCAAAAATAATTTTTTCCCATGGAAAATTCCAATAGTTGTATGATGAACTTTCTTTGTTTGATTTGCAAATCTGTATGATATTTTAAAGCCCATTTTATTGCATCTATTCCATCTTTATGTTTTATACTTGTGTATAAGGAATTCACATCTATGGTTACTAGATACATCTCTTGTGTCGTCTACGTACCTTCCAATAAGTTAATAACATCTTGGCCGTCCTTTAAATATGAAGGCATTTTTTTGACCACCGGCTGTAAATAAAAATCAATATATTGTCCCACCCTTGAGTGTATAGACCCGATCCCATTAATAATGGGCCTACCCGGAGGATTGGTCAAACTCTTATGAATTTTCGGTAGGATATATATATATATATATGGAACTTTACAATGTAATGGGACAAGATATAATGCTTCTTTCTCACAAATAATTTTGTCTTCTTCAGCTTTATTGATCAATTTCAGGAGCTGTTTCCTATAAAGGGCCGTGGGATTTTTTAAAATTCTTTCATATGTACTCTTATCCCCTAAAATCAAATTCATTTCTTCTTCATATTTTGATCTATCCATTAATACCACCCCTCCCCCCTTGTCTGCCGGTCTAATCACAACATTATTCCTTTTCTTTAATGAAAGTAGACCCTGATGTAAGGATTCCTCCTCCTTAAATTTCCGTACATTTAAATCATAAATTGTGATTTATGATTTAACCATTTCCATACCGGGCAATTTTCCCCCTTCCTGCCCAGGCAATTTTTCAGGTTTCAGCGCTCTCACACTTTGAATGACAATTGCGCGGTCATACAACATTGTACCCAAACTAAAATTTTATCATTTTCTTCACACAACTAGAGCTTTCTTTTGGTGATATTTAATCACTGCTGGGGTTTTTATTTTTTGCTAAATTAACAAAAAAAGACCAAAAATATCCCCCAAATGTCAGGATGGTACAGATATCCCCCAAATGTCAGGACGGTACAGATATCCCCCAAATGTCAGGACGGTACAGATATCCCCCCAAATGTCAGGACAGTACAGATATCCCCCAAATGTCAGGACAGTACAGATATCCCCCAAAAGTCAGGACGGGACAGATATCCCCCAAATGTCAGAACAGTACAGATATCCCCCAAATGTCAGGACAGTACAGATATCCCCCAAATGTCAGGACAGTACAGATATCCCCCCAAATGTCAGGACAGTACAGATATCCCCCAAATGTCAGGACAGTACAGATATCCCCCAAAAGTCAGGACGGGACAGATATCCCCCAAATGTCAGAACAGTACAGATATCCCCCAAATGTCAGGACAGTACAGATATCCCCCAAATGTCAGGACAGTACAGATATCCCCCAAATGTCAGGATAGTACAGATATCCCCCAAATGACCCCTTTTTGCAGAGTAGACAGTCCGACGTACTTCATAAGAGGCATGGCGAGTTTTTTGAAGTTGTATTTTTTTGTCATAATTTTTCGGAAAATGAAAAAATTAAAAAAATTATTTTCACTATTTTTTTTTTTACATACTGTCACCAGTGCAGTACAGTGTCATCATATAACTGGCATGGCGGTGAACAGGGACACTGACTGGTGACAGTATGAAAAAAAAAAATATATATATATTTTTTAATTTTTTTATTATATTTAATTTTTTATTACATTTTTTTTAAATTTTTTTAAAGATTTTTTTTTTTTTTTTCATATTTTACTATGACCAAAGTAGTACAATGTTACCATAGTAACATTGTACTACTTTGGGGAAGTGATTAGTATTTTTTTTTTTACACAATTTGCTCATAGCAAAGAATTACTTTGCTATAAGCAAGCATTTAGCTGAATGAAATCGATTCATTCAGCTTTTTTTTTTTTTTTTTTTTTTTTTTTTTTTTGTGCTTAGCTGTGATTTGGTCACAGCTAATCACATGACATGTGCATGTGATTAGCTGTGACCATTCACAGCTAGGCACTAGTATACAATGGATGGCATGAATGAAGCCATCCATTGTATACAACTGTCATGTGACCTGCTGTGATTGGTCACAGCAGGTCACATGGTACCAGCAACGGGAGCCGGTACTCGGATCTGTCATCGGCCGTGTCCGAGGTGCACAGCCGGTGACAGATCGCACTGCTGCGCCGCTCTGCATTAGCGCAAACTGCGCATGTGCGGGAGCACGCCAAATGGCGTGCACCCGGAATGCAGGAACACTTTTGAAGCTGCCAAACGGCCATTGGCCGGGCGGCTAATGGTTAAAATCATCATTCATATTTCTGGAGTTAGGAGGATTAAACGTCGATTTATTCTTTAGATTACTGTGAACATATTTAGACCTAGACTGAAGGTTAGCAGTAGATGTCGGCCCTGGTAGAGAGGTAAAATATTTTTTAATATTTATTTTCCTAATATATTTGTTAATATCAATATATGTCTCGAATTTATTTAAATTCGATTTAGGGGCAAACTTAAGACCTTTATCTAATACTAAAACCTCCTCATCCATTAGAGGGACTGAACTCAAATTATAGATACCTTCCCCTATACTTCTTTTCTCTTTCTCTTGTTTTCGTTCCCTTTTTCCAGTACTCGATCCTCTACTTGATAATTCCTTACTTCTTCTTCTCTCGGAGCATAACTTCCCTCCCACTCCGTCCTTTGATATCATTGGGGATTCCTCTGTCCTCCCCTTCCCCATTGGGGTTGGTAATATGGTCTCATAAACGGTGGACCTGGTGGCCGACCTCTGTAGTCCCTCTGAAAAAAATTTCCTCTCCCTCTATTTCTACCTGGGTCATAATAAGTATTTCTGGGGCTATATTGATTATTCCAGCCTTCTAATGGCTGGAATCTATTATAAACCGGAACATTAAAACCTTGATCAGCCGAATTCCTTGGTTTATAATTAGTCTTATTACCAGATGATTTTGGTTCCACTCCCTTCCCTGGGATTGATACAGCTTCCATCATCTTATTCTGGCCCTGGGATATAGGTCCCGGGCCTACT